ATTCAGGGAGTCTTTTTGCATATTAGGAAGCTGTTTTAAAGCTGTTGAATCTGAACGAATTTATTTAATACGTTTGTAATCCGCATTATTGGCTTGCTGGCTCCAGGGGGTCACACACTTTTATATTTGCGAACATTCCTACCGGGCGACAGGGCTGGTGGGAGCACGCAGAGCGTTTGCGTTTCTACGAAAAGCCGTCTGCGCTGCGTTTTTCTAAGCTCCGGGGATACACGAGGAGATTATTCCATGCTATAGGCTGATGTCCACAAATGTCACACTATTTCCGTGTTTTCAGTCTGTGGGAACATAAAGTTTGTGTTCTTTTAAAATCCTCATTCATGACTTTAAGCATAACAAACTGACTTAAAATGTACTGTTTTGTTTTCTAAAAGCCAAATTCCAGGGATTAATTTTTATGTGGAAAATTTCATCTCAGAGCACAATGTTGTAGCATAGTCGTAAACCTCAAAGAATGGGAATTTGTAGTGGACTGAGCCATCGATTCTTAACAAGAGCTGCATTAACAGGCAGGCGAGACAGTAAAATGGCTCCAGAGCCTCATGGCAACATGTGGAGATGCAGAATCTTTTAACGTCGATTTGCAAGTTAACACATCCCCTTAGTGCCCAAAAAAAGTTGGGTAATCAGGCTAAAAACAATCAAAGCAAGTCATCGTCGGTCCCCTGGCATCCTTTGGTTAGTTTCAGTGGTCGCTCCATTTGTTGACTGTTGGCTAATTAGTTCTGAGCTTGCTGGCCACTGAGCGAAACAAAGCGTGGGTGGCTGGCTGGGAGTGTCAGAGTCAGACTGCCCCGGCTCCAACTCCTCGCTGGCCTCTCACCAGCAGTTTGCCCTGGGACGAAAGACTCACCCTCTCTGGGCCTCGGTTTCCCCATCTGTAAAGTGGTAACAAGAAAAATGTGCCTCACAGGGTTGGCGTGAAGATAAGAGATACACAGTGTTTGAAAGTGCCTTGCATATAGCAGTAAATTGTTATGAACGTTTACAAATGCTAACTTTATGCTGTAGAACCATTGAAAAGGTATTTCTAATTCTTTTTTTCTTCCTATTTTATTTTACTTTAAGTTCTGGGATACATGTGCTGAATGTGCAGGTCTGTTACGTAGGTTTACATGTGCCATGGTGGTTTGCTGCACCTGTCAACCCGTCATCTAGGTTTTAAGCCCTGTATGCATTAGCTATTTGTCCTATTGCTCTTCCTCCCCTTGCTCTCCCCAGCCCCCAACAGGCCCCACTGTGTGATGTTCCCCGCCCTGTGTCCATGTGTTCTCATTGTTCAGCTCCCACTTATGAGTGAGAACATGCGGTGTTTGATTTTCTGTTCCTGTGTTAGTTTGCTGAGGATGATGGTTTCCAGCTTCATCCGTGTCCATGCAAAGGACATGAACTCGTTCTTTTTTATGGCTGCCTAGGATTCCATGGTGTATATGTGCCACATTTTCTTTACGCGGTCTATCATTGATGGGCGTTCGGGTTCTTTCTAAGTCTTTGCTATTGTAAATAATGTTGCAGTAAACATGTGTGTGCATGTGTCTTTACAGTAGGATGATTTATAATCCTTTGGGTATATGCCCAGTAATGGGATTGCTGGGCCAAATGGTATTTCTGGTTCTAGATCCTTGAGGAATCACCGCACTGTCTTCCACAATGGCTGAACTAATTTACACTCCCCCCAACAGTGTAAAAGAAGAAACAACCCCATCAAAAAGTGGGTGAAGGATATGAACAGACACTTCTCAAAAGAAGACACTGATGCAGCCAACAAACCTACGAAAAGAAAAAAAGCTCATCATCACTGGTCGTTAGAGAAATGCAGATCAAAACCACAATGAGATACCATCTCACTCCAGTTAGAATGGTGACCACTATTTCTAATTCTTCAAGTGATCTTTTTCTGCGAGAATTTCTGTTGTGAGCGAAGCACCCGCGTCAGGGCAGGCTGTGGAGGGGGAGGCAGCGGGGCACACCGAGAAGCCCTGGGGGTGAGAGCTGGGGCTGGGACCGGGGCTGGGTGAGATGCTAACTGGGCTTGGAGATGACAGATACAGATTCTGGGAGCGCAGAGCCTCCCTTTACTGCTCAGAAATTTTTTCCTGAAGCTAATGAGCTCTGAGTAGCCCCTGAGCTACTAACTTACCATACTTGGAGTGGCTGAATGAGAGCTGAAGTCTCAGCTGATCGCCTCCGGTCAAATCCCTGGCCCAGGCTGCCTCTTTTTGGCCATCAGGACAGCAAGGTTCCAGCCGCCTTGGCTTGTCCTATGCAGGTCTCAACTGGCATCCGACCCTTAGAGCCCGTTTGGCTCCTTAAATAAGTACCTACCTGCAGATGGAACTACGACGACTTAGCCACACAGAAACACTTACCTGTGGGACTTCACTGGGGGCCCAGTGCGTTTCCTGCTGAGGACTGTAAGCGCTCGGGTAAACATTTGTCAGATGGATTAATGAACTGAACAGCTTTACAGAGGGAACCTTGAAGAGATGGCGTTAGAGTCTCAAGTCCTTGTTGCTGCCGACAAACTTGTGGTGTGTCTTTGGCATCCCTGCCTTGCTCCATTTTCCAGGCCCCTGCCGCACACACAGATGCCTCCTAAGCTCTGAGACGTGTGGTGACTGCACAAAACTCGTATTAGAAGTGATAGCCGTCAGAGTGCTTATGTGAAAGAGGCGATGTAAAGATGATGAGGGAGGAGGGAGTTCCGAATGCAAATGTTTCTACACTTTCGTATTCGTGTGTTCCACAGGCTTCCCTCTCCCATGCCCTTCTGCTACGTGTGCTGCCATTTCCTCTGAATGAAGGGAAAAGAAATATTGGCAGCCCTCAGCTAACATCCCCAGTGATGCGCACGCTGTCGTGCAGCCAGGGCGAGCTGTGTGTCAGGGCACGAACCCTGAGTCACGCCTTGACCTGTGAACTTCCTTTCCGAAGCACCGTCTTCAAGTGGTGCTTAAAAGGGAGTAAAAACTAAACTTACGAGCGCGACCTAGTGCGTCCGCCCAGACAGCCCCTCAGCAGCGGCTGGGAGAGGCCCCGTGCCTGTGTTAAAGCCACACATCCCAAGACGGACTCTGTACCATGTCCCCAGACACCCACACTCAGTATGCGTGTGTGTGTGTGTGAAGTGTGGGCAACATTTTCAAAGTAAACTTGCATTCATAAAGTCAAAAGTTTTGAAAGTGGTTTTTAAACAGGTTGAACTGTGAGAACATTCAACTGACTG